AGTCAAAGAAAACACTAAAGCCAACAAAGTCATGACCCAAAATGTCCAAGAAATTTGGGACACCATGAAAAGACCAAACCTAAGAATAATAGGGATAGAGGAAAGAGAAGAATACCAACTCAAAGGGACAGAAAATATATTCAACAAAATCATAGAAGAAAACTTTCCCAACTTAAAGAAGGAAATGCCTATGAAGATAAAAAGGAAGGAAAGCCTATAGAACACCAAACAGACTAGACCCCCAAAAAAAGTCCCCTCGCCACATAATAAACAACTAAATGTACAGAATAAAGAAAGAATATTAAGAGCAGCAAAGGAAAAAGGCCAAGTGACTTATAAAGGCAAACCCATCAGAATAACACCTGATTTCTCAATGGAGACTTTGAAAGCCAGAAGGACCTAGGCAGATGTAATGCAGACACTAAGAGACCATGAATGCCAGCCTAGACTAATATACCCAGCAAAACTTTCAGTCATCATAGACAGAGTAAACAAGACATTCCAAGACAAAGCCAGATTTAAACAATACTTATCCACAAACCCAGCCCTACAGAAAGCACTAGAAGGAAAATTCCAACCTAAGGAAGTCAGATACACCCTCGAAAACACAGGCAATAGATAAAGCCACAGCAGTAAACCCCAAAGAAGAGAAGTACACACACACTACCACCAAAAAATAACCTCAGGGGAGTCTTTGCCATGGAGGATATAGGAATGGGGGGGTGGGCTGGGGAGAAGGGGGGAGAACAAGGGAATCTGTGGCTGATATGTAAAATTAAATTAAATTATAAAATAAAATTTAAAAAAGAAATATACATACGGTATAACAAAATTAACTTTAAATTTTTTATCGATAAACCAAAATTCATACTAATGTAAAATATTTAAGATTAATAGTTGTTTTTTGGATTAAAGAAGATTCAGTAATCTACCTTTTTATCCTACCATTTCTATGTTCCCCCTTTTTCTTTTCAAAACAAGATCTCTGAATCTAATCTCCTTTGTTTAGCTTTTTTTCCTGACCATTATCCATAACAACTTGTAACCAACCCCCCAAATGATGATAAACATTCATAATTTATTTTTGGGAATCTGGGCATAGTTCTCTAGACTACTTCTTACTGATTGGGGGCACTGGTAATCTTTGGAGGACCCTGAGAGAATTTAGGATTATTGTCAAGTCCTGACAGGAGTAGTCTGTGAGGCTGGATCATCTCAGCCGGCAGCCTTGAAGCTGTTCTGGATGCAGAACTCAGAGGAAACTGCAACAGAAGCACTATGAAATGTTGGATCATCTGGGCCATCCTCTCCTCTCCTATTGGAGATTTTTTAGGGGGTCTTCCTTGATCAAACCTGATTTTTCGTAACCCAGAATGAATCCATAGCCTCTCATTTCCTGTGGAAATAAAAATAGAACCTCTTTCCCAATGTAACATATCCCTTGACTTAAATTTTGAAGTCAGGACATTTTTACAATATATAGGTTGGTTTAATATAGCAGTTTTCATAATTGAATGTCTCTCAGCAGTTATCATTTGCTCATTAGCAGTCAAAATTTAAAAACAATACAATAACATACAGTATCCAGACTCTCTGTATTTTTTTCATCTTTATGTGACCTTTTTTTAAATATTACTTATTCCCCTTTTTAGGACTTCACTTGATTATTTTAAAACTGTATATCTCTTTTTTACTGTCTATACCTTCTCTTTTCTTGCAAGCCTATGTATATTTTTAAACATATTGTAAACCTTTTAGAAGTGGTTTTTTTCTTCTTCTAAATCTGTCTTTACTGCATTTCTATCTTTTTCTGACCATGTGAGTCTTTAAACTGCTAAGCAGGCTAAACCTAATGTGTAAGCTTTGGTGGCTGGCTCTGCCCCATTCCTTGGCTACCTGAGAGTCTAGTTTTATGGCAGAGGTACCTGAAAAGGTCATGCTTAATGTCTGAACTTTCAGAAGCTGTTGGGTCCATGCTGCCACCAAGTAGTGTACAGCCCTCTGCCCACAAACCCCATTTAAGTACTCCATAACAGGACCTCCCAAAAGAGCTGGCCATACTTGAACCAGGAAGCCATGTCTTAAAGGAGTCATGCCTCTGCTTGCCACTAGCAAACAGAGCCTACCCAAGAAAATGCTGCTACCAAGAAGCTGTACTTGACTCTGTTCTTTTGTGTGTTTAGAATCCTCTTTTTTCAAGCTTTCCTCAGGTTTTATGTGGAAATTCTTGTCGAATGTTGGACGGCAGACTGTGTTCTTTCTTTGTAGTGTGTATGTGTCTTCATGTGCTGTATGTGCATCTGTGCAGGTGCACCTCCCCGTGGAGACTGGAGGAGGACATCGGGTGAAACAGGGTCTCTCACATAACCTGGAGCTAGACTGCTGACCAGCAAGCCCCACCAACAACAAGCAATCCTCCCTCTGTCTCAGCTCCAACAGTGCTAGGATTACAGGAATGCATGGCCAGGCCCAAGTTCTATGTGTATGCTGGCAATTTAAACTCAGGTCTTCATGCATGCAGAATAAGTACTACGAGCCATCTCCCTGGTATTGCCTATCTTATTCTTAATGAAGAATTTAGACTCAGTAGGTAATCATTATAAGAACTCACAAAGAGGACATTATCCCTTATGCAACATCATTTATTAAGTGTAATGGTTTCCCAGCAAACCATTCGGTGCAGCAAGCTTACTCTGCCTGTTGAAGGAGCACAGAACTAATGGAGCAGAGAAAGAGAAGGGCACACAGAGTAGTTTGTTCATATAAGATTGAAGGACTTTTATTACTGGTTGGCAGTTTCAGTAAAAAAACGAATTCCTCTGCATTAATAATACTAATATGCTGCGTAATTCTATTTTTTTATTTTCTTGTGCATTCTCTTTCTATATGGTCACTAAGTATAATTGTGTAATTCTATTGTGTAATTCTATTTTGTGCATTATAATTTCTATATGGTCCCTATAAGTATAACTGTCTAATTCTATTGTGTAATTCTATTTTTTATTTCTTGTGCACTATAATTTCTATATGGTCACTAAGTATAATTCTTTCAATGTCATTAGTGTACCCTTCAGTGTCTTTGAGAAAGATGATGTCATCTGATATATCCATTAGGAATGAAAGTCCAAATCCCTTAGCCAGCCAAGTGGTTAAAAGCCTACAGAATAACTTTATCATTTTGTTCCAACTGAACAGAACTGGAGTGTAGGTTTATCTTCTAAGTATCATATTTTGGAGATGATGTAAACTAAGAAAAGTAGCTGTAAAAGAAATTCTGTAGGCAGTTCTGACAGAGTAACTGTTACCTCCCCATCCCACCAGCCAGCTCAGCTTTGCACAGATAGGATGTTGTTGGCTTCTGCTAATAGTCAGTGTTGCAGGGTATGGGGGCAATATGAAAGACAAAAGGCAGAGAACAGAGAGTTTATTCTTATGTACAATCAGGAAGGTGTGGGCATTCCAAATCCACAATGTTTAATGTGAGTTTAAATAAGAAGACAATGGAAACTCGGGTCAATATTCTTGGAAAGAATTCTTGACAGAAAAATTTTAGAAAACCACCATACTAACATTTTAAGTAGATGTAATCAGACATCTGAACTCCATCTGTCTAGAATGATACGAAACTAATTCTCATTCCCCAAGTGAAATTGTTTTTATAATGTATGATGTAACGTGGGATTTTGTACAGTCATTTTGGCAGCATACATCCTTATGTGTGTGTTTAAGCTGAAGTTATGTGGCATGCATTGTGAGAAAGGCATTCCTACTAGTGTTTAACTTTAACTCAGAACATTGTTGGTCACAACTGTAATAACAACTGGAGCAGCTGGACAGAAGTAGGTCACTGGTCTGTCTTTTACCCTGAGCGATTCTGACGTAGGTTACAGATCCCATGGCTTGCTTGCCCTAGATGGAAGTAAATGCAGCATTTGAAAAAAATGACATGGTATGGTAAGTCAGGGAACCTAAAGTTGTTCAAGGTAGAGACATTGCAAATCATAGAGAATGATCATGGAGAGAGCTGTCTGCACATCCTGGTCTCCTGCAGGCAGGAACCAGGTTAGGTCAGAGGTGCAGGAATGAGAGCTCTGTACTAGTTCTTTGCCATTAGTGTGACTTCTCTGGTTTATTCCAGTTTCCATCTTCTTCCAAATGACTTGTTCTCTTGAATCTCAGCACAAGCATTTCACTAGCTGTTTGCCTGTACTATGGATAGATGCTGTGGGCATGGCAGTTCGGATAGGTTGCAAGGCTGAGCTCATTGGATGATGGATGCATTAAGAAAGGGTATGACTAGTAAGCTCATGGGGAACTGTCTTGTCTGCTAGGAAGTCTATGGAAGGCTTCCTGGAGGAGAAGACATTGACCCAGGATTACAGAGGCTAAATTGGATTTAGCACTCAAGAGCAAATAGGTAAAGACATGGTGTTTTAGGTAGTGAAGCAATATGAGCATTTCTCTTTGACAGTCGATGAATCTGGCTCAGCAATTCTGTGTGTAGATGCCCTGAACCATCTCAGTAGCCTATGCAGAAGTTTTGGGGTTTGTGGTCAGAGCATTTGTGGGTTTTAAAAGTTTCCCAGATGATGCTGATTCAGAGTGCACTGAGAACCACCAGCAGCTGAAAGTACAGCCCATTATGAGTTGTGAAATACAGCTGGGAAGGGAACTAGAAAAGGACCACAGAGGCTTCCTTCCCTATGTCAAGCCAAGGACTTTCTCACCTGTGACCTGCAAGTATAAGGGGACCACTGAAGCCTGCTGCTTGATCAGTTTCCATCATTTTCAGAGCCAGGATGGCTGCACATGTTTAGAGTCCTTTCAGAGCAGTAGAAAAAGTAGGGTGCAGAGTGTGGGTCTAGGTGTCATCCCACTGCTTCAGTTGATCATGGAGAGTGTTGTTTATTCATTGCCTCTTCCTGGGGTACATTTTAATCTCTGCTTTGTGTTTCTAAACAGAGTTATTGAAGTTTTTCTAATGATTCTTTTCTCTTCAGGGGAGTTGGCTGCATCTTTGTTGAGATGATCCAAGGAGTCGCTGCATTTCCAGGAATGAAAGACATTCAGGACCAACTTGAACGAATATTTCTGGTAAGTTCTGTATAAAGTGCTTCTCAGAAAAACATGTTTCTAATTAGTTACTTAATGATCTGCTGGAAATATTTTAAAACATGGTTGTCCATTGTTGTCACATCTAATTCTAACCTTTTTTTTTTTTTTTGCCTTTAAGTGGCAAGGAATTATTCATTGACAAGTGTGTCTTTAAATTATCATATGTGAATAAACTGATAACATAGTAAGAATGAGAGAGATAAGAGAAGTAGTGTAGAATAATGGGCTGTAATTAACATGCAGGCATAATGGTTCCAAATAAAGTATGTAGAGATCGGCCATCTTCCAAGAAGATGGAGCTCATCTAGACACTTCCCTCCGCGCCTGCACAGTAGGCTTCCGCTGATAACTGTCGTCTGTACTACTGAATGTGGAGAATGGGAAGTGCAGGGGACATGGTGACCTTGCAGAGGAAACAGCCAGGCCAAAGTCGCCTCAGGCAGGACTGTAAGACTGTCCTCGTCTATGAGAAGTCACGTGGTGGCATGTTCCCTTGAGATGATGTGAGGAAAATGATGTGCCGCTCCCATCACCTTCTTCCTGAAACTGTAAGTCCACTCTAGCTGTGAATCCAAAATGTAAGACCTTCTGCAAAATTCCCTCCTCACACTCTTCAAAACTGTCATGGTCATAAAAACAAGGGAAGAAGTCTGAAAAACTCTTATAATCCAGGGGGAAGCTAGGATCATGTGACAGCACAGAGTGACATGGTCTCATGGATGGACCCCTGGATCGGCAGAACACAATAGAGAACCAGTGAAACCCGAATGAAGTATGGGGTTTAGTAATGTCCATGGACCGATATGGATTTTTATTTGGTACAAACGCACTGGGCAGAGCTTAAACAAGAGAAGCTGAGTGAAGGCTGTACCAGAACTCTCACTAATATTTGGCAATCTTTATATAATTTTGAATTTCTTGTAAAAAAAGGGGGGGGCGTATCTTGAGTTTTGGCAAAATTGTTGTGTTGAAGCAGCTTGTCTGTATCTAGCCTGTCCTGTCTTGTTTTATCATAGTGGCTTTGGACAGGGTCTTACTCACTTTCTGAAGTTGTTCCCTCAAAGACGAGAGAGGAATTCTTCTCAAAGGTCACTTTGAAGAATCATTGACTTAGGAATAAGAATGCTTCTAAATGCCTAGCATATAGTAAGCATGGGTTGTTCTCATTACATCATTTTCATATCAAGTTCTTTCATTCAGTGGGACTTTTATGTTAGTCAGTAGTCATAAGTACGTTATATAAAACCCAAAACAATATCTAGAAAAAAAGGTAAAGATTTCATTAAAAGTATTTAAACTAAGCACATTCTGCTAACTCCTATTTCCATATTTCTCCTTACTTACAAAACTCTCCTGTGAAGCCACTGAGGTGGATTTCAGTGTAGACTGTGTCGGAGATGTACTGTTATTCATTCTAGAGATGTGGGCTCTCCTTCTCAGTGTAGGAAGGACGGGGTGCTGTGCAGTGATTGAGACTGTCGCTGTTGTGTCCCCTCCATGTCAGCTGCCATGCCGTTGAATTTTATATGTGCTCTAAGAATTTAATCATGTATTGTCTACCATTTGTAGGTCCCATTTTCATTTCATAATATATAATAAAGACTTGATTGGAGAAAATTCAGAACCATGTCATCATTTTTAATGACAGAATGTTTCACTATATGGATGAGATGCTATTTACATATCTAATTCATCATTTTTTTAAAAAGGCTACTAGAAACTACATTGTATCCCTATTAAGACTAATTATTAGAATTGAAAAAATCCTTAATGTAATAAAGTCAATTTTCATGAATTTGTTGACTATTCTTATATGTCCATTGCTTCATCTAAACACACAAAGCTCCTCATCCCATTTTACTCAATAAAATCTCTTATATTTTTCATTTAACTGGATTAGGTCTGTAGATTATGTAAGAAACAAATGATATAATATTGAGCTTTTTGGGTGGTATTTATTTTAAGTGTACGAGTGTTTTGCTTGCATGTATGTCTGTGCACCATCTGATTTCCTGGTGCCCATAGAGGTCACAAGAGAGTGTTGGGTTCCTTGGGAGTGGGTTCCTGGATAGTTGTAAGCTGCTGTAGAGGTGCTGGGAATCAAACCCGAATCCTCTAGAATAGGTGTTTTCGACCACTTACTGTCTCTCCAGCCCAGTTAGCTTTGTTGTTGTTACTGTTTTGGGTTTTATAGCCTCAAAATCTTCATGTAGATGAGAGTGACCTTGACCTTCTGATCTTCCTGCACTTGATCTCTCAAGTGCTGGGGTGACAGATGTGGCCTACCAAGCCTAGTTTATGCAGCACTGGGATGTTTATGGAGCCTAGGGCTTTGTGTGTTGGACGATTACTCTACCAACTGAGCTATGCATTCAGCACCAGCCACATGTATAATCCTTATAAACATATTTTGTTTCCTTTTTCTATACGCTTCACTTTCATTGAATTATTTTAGACAGCTTATCCATAAGAATTCTTTTCCTTTTATTCCTTTTGTCTGTTTGTAAATATGATGTGTGTGTGCATATTCACATGTGTGAGGGTGCTTGAGCGTGCATGCATATGTATGCATGCCAAATGTACTCATTTCAGTATGGAGGGCCAGATTTGATATTGGAGTCTTTCTGGATTTCTGTTCCTTCTTATTCTTTTGAGGCAGGTTGCTTTAACCAAACTCAGAACTCACCAGTAAGGCTAGTCTGGATGCCCTGACTCCATTTTCTGAGACTGGAGTTATAAGAATGCCAGTGTGCCTGCCTGATGTTTAGATGGTTTCTGGAAACCCAAACTTAAGTAGTTCATGTAGCAAGCAAATCTTTTCACCATTGAGCCATTTCTCCACGAGCATTTCTACATACTTTGTAATTGTATAAAACAATTGAAAAAATCATTTTAATGATGTATAGTGTATATATTATCTATATCGTACTAAATCATATCTAAATATTTAGCTGTCAGACTTGTTTAATACCCAAGTATAGCCATTATACCATTCAGCTATATTCTGAGACTAATTTCTTACATTTCTAGTTAGATTTTAATACTGAATCTTTTCAAACAATAATTATATAACCTTTCCAAATTTTTTAATTAGTTTCATGTTAAAAATACTTTCTTATATTTAAAATAAGAAAGTCAGGTGTATAACCTTGAACCTCAGCACTTGGGAGGCAGAAACAGAAGAATCAGGATTTCAAGGCCAGCCTTGGCAATGTAGCAAGTTCAAGGCCAGTCTGTTACCCGAGACCCTATCTCAAAAGTCAATAAGTAAATAAATGAGAAAACATAAAAAGGATTAGGTTCTTCTTGTATATTACTTCAGGATGAGTTTATAAAACCTGAATAGTGATATAAATGAGTTATATGTTATATCAATAGAACTAAGAAAATGCATTTCACAACAGCAATTCTTCCTAGAAATGTTTGTGTAATGCAAATAATTTATATCAGAGAGCATTTGTTGGCTCTCTTCCTGTATGGATATTTAGCTCCTATTTCTTAATTTTATGGCAATGCTTTTCTAATTTTATGGGTATCTAGAGACCTTTGAGCCCTGGCTAGGCTTTTAATAAGCCAGGGAAATAAATCATTACAAATTTCCCATGGGATTATTGATGTACCAAGTCATGATTCGCTCTTCTTAGAGCACAGAAACTTGTGAATGCAGATAACTATCATGACTCCTGGCAATAATTGTTTCTTTTCCCATAGATACTTGGTGTACATAATGTTCTTTAAGATAAAATGCCCTTTGATCGTTAGGAGCTGAAGCTCATCTTCTGCAGAAGATTGCTGCTTCAGAATTGAATGACCAAACACTTTGCCCTGAAAAATTAGTCAAAATCAAACTAACATCTAGGAACTTTGTTTGTCAAATGTTATAATCTTAAATATTTTATAAACTCCTCTGGATTGTTGGTATTTGCCAGTGGGTCTGTATAACATGCTAAGAAGCCACTATCAAGACTTAGTGTTCACTCAGAGCTTTGTGATCCACTCTCAGGACTTAGTGATCACTCAGAGCTTTGTGATCCACTCTCAGGACATAGTGATCACTCAGAGCTTTGTAATCCACTCTTAGGACTTAGTGATCACTCTGAGCTTTGTGATCCACTTTCAGGACTTAGTGATCACTCAGAACTTAGTGATCTACTCTCAGGATATTGGACAAATTCAATGTGGTTGAATCAATGGGAAAAAAATGCTTTTCCTCAGTGACCTTTCATATCTGGCCTCAATAAGAAGGCTATTAAATGGGGATTAAATCTACTGGAAACTGCCAAACCTCTTTTCTGAAGTGGCAGTTGTATATCTGGGCTCTAGTAAAGCATTGCCAAGCAGACAATCAACTTTGAAAGTAATGAAACATGAGATTATTTGGTTTGTTTGGTATCTTAATTCTGAGATTAAGTACATTCATTTTTTCCTATAAACTGTGTATACAAAAGTGGTTAATAACCTTGAAGCATTAAATTAATAACTTGTAACCTAAGATTTAATTAGTTCACACATACCATATCTTTATTAAAAATGTGCAAGGCAGCGAAGACCAGCTAGTGAACCCCTTTCTATTTTTTCCTTCGTACTTCCTTTTTTTTTTTTTTTTTTTTTTTGGTGGGAGAAAGCTGGTTACATTTTAAACAAATCTAATTAATTTGTTTTCAGAGCTTTATAACCATGTTGGTATACAAAGTGAGCTGCCGTTGCTACAATCTGCAATTTCAAATCGAATCATTTTCCTTGTGTTCATGATGTCCATATGCAAGGCACAAAGGTGGTAGCATTTGTAGGAGACCTATTCAAACCAAGTGAGGTTGCATGGGACTAGACAGCAAGTTCTCTAACGAGCAGCTCGCTGTGCTGACAGACAGGCAGAGTGATTTGTTTTCATTCTTCAGCATTGCCTGTTTTCAAATATAACATGGTGTGCTCTGTTCACCTCCATTAGCTGCAAAACATAAGCAGAAGATACGTTCATT